ATTAGGTTATTTTTAGAGTGATTTTATCACGGTACTACCATAGTGCTGTTAATTGATTAAATGCTTGTATGAATTATGATTTAAATAATTAACAATAATTATTAGGTTGATGTGTTTAGCTATTAAAAAGCTTCTGAAATAAGACTGGTGCTCCACCAGTATTAATAAATTATACCCAAGTTCTTATATTTATATTTAATCCCAAAATATTTTTAGTCTGTTCAAGTCTACTGAAGGCTGCAAGTCTATTTTCATACACTTTTTCAACTTGTGTGTTCAGTCCTTCACTACTGACTAAATGACTGACATTGTACATTGCTGCTGTAATTATTATTAAATGTACATGCATGTGTCTTGGTTAATAACTTGTTGAAAGCATTATCAGAAGATCCCCAACTAGTGATGTACCATGAGATGTGTGGTTAGCAAAAATGTAAAAAAATATCATCACAGTGCATTTCCTTTACAGAGAGGGATTGATATGACTTGGAAGTTTTACATGTGGTTCAGTTTAAACTGGCTTTACTGTACAATCAACCAATTTTAATTGTTCTGTTTTACCCACAGCATAGACATCCATATCTATCAGCCCAAGTAAATAACGGTACATGGGCATATGACCATGATCGGGACGGTACACATACTGAAGTAGCTGGTTGTGAAGCCTTAGGATTACGTAATGTCGACCATGATACAACTTTGGCTGTTAGGTATTCACAAGATAGGCTCACTGTAAGTTCACAGTTAACATCATGTCTGTGGTATGTTATTTATGATTCTGAAAAAGTGTAAAATGCATGCAAAGTGTTTGATAACCTTATTTTGATTGTAAAAAAACAAAAAAAACATTATGCTGGATTACCTCTAATCCATTGCATTCATGTAAGCTGGGGAGATTATAGAATGAAAACAATCAGCACAAAAACTCATGCAGTATCATTTTGTATGTACTTGCAGAATTTTTTTTATTTTCCATTGCAGTAATAAAAATAAAACTGCAAATACAAAAATTTCACTGCTGTTTTTTCCCCCTCAGATTTCAAATTTGTTAGCATTTTTGTCACTTACCTAAAGCATGACAGTCGTTGTAAAGCAGTGTGTTCGATGTGAATCTCATGCTGTGTATATAGAATGCATTAAAATATTGTTTGTTTACATCAAATGCACTACCACGCTTTAAATCACCAATACATGTGTTGATAGAGAATCAGAATTTTAAGGTTGTTCCAACGTTGTCATCCTTGTATCCTTAGGTAACTCTGATCTTTTTCGAATATGTTGTCAAAAAGTATAAAATCTCGACCAATTTTGTTTTTGAGTCATGAATGTATATACAACTATATATTTATATCTTTGTAGGTTATGTTGGACATTGAT